CAGCACGCCTATCTGGGGGATGTGTGTTTGGGAAGCGTGGGGGCAAAGCAGGGCTTGGTCTGGTTCCCAATCCTGGTTGGTCATCAGAATCACCAGTGTTGCTTGTTTAAAATAGATTCAGGCCTCACATCAGATCTATTGAATCAAAATCTTCAAGAGTGAGCTCTGGCTGGTGTGGCTCAGTGGATTGAGTACCAGCCTGTAAACCAAAGGGTTTCAGGTTTGATTCCCAATCAAGGCACAAGCTTGGGTTGTGGGCCAGGTCCCCAGTAGGGGACACATGAGAGGCAACCACACATTGATGTTTCTCTTCCTCTCTTCCTTCCTTCCCCTCTCTCTAAAAATAAATAAATAAAACTAAAAAAAAAAAACAAAAACAAAAACAAAAAACCTTCAAGGTTGGGATTGGAGAGTCTGGGCTGAGGCTAGACATAACAAAATACAATCTATGAACTTTGATGGATGCCTAGATTTTTTTAAAGTATAAAGATATTTTGGGGACACCCAGGCAAATTTTAAGAGAGATTGTTTATTAGATGATGCTGAGTTCTTGGTAATGTTCTTAAATGTGATAATAATAGTATTTTGGAAATATAGGGGAATGAATTTATTCTGACGTGATACAGGCCAAAGTGTTAAAAAGTCTAGTACTGTATCTACAGCTTTTTTAAAACAATGAATTACTTTTAAATGGTTCAAGAAAAAGTAAAGCAAACGAGACAAAATATTGAGACAGAGAGCATTCATTGTGCTCTTCTTTCAAATTTTTGTAGGCTGAAGATTTTCAAAACAAAATTGGGGTGGTGGGGGAAACGTGAGACCCCTGGACAAGAGAAGCTCTGCGGCCCCATCTGGCCTGAGAGCCCGCAGCCCGACACTGGAGGCCTACGGAGCTGCAGGCTGTTGGCGCGGTGTCTGCAGCTGAGACACGGGTTTGGAGTCTATTGGTGTGACCTTAGGCCACTGTGACCCCCTAGAGGTCCTGCATACTCGGGGGGCCGACCACCCCGATGCCATATTGGCATGCTCAGGAACTCAAAAGAGAGGCCCCACACCCACCTCCTCTGCCCAAATTCCACAGGGCCCGTGCCAAAGCACAGTCCATCCTGCTTGGCCCTCTCCGTGGGTCTCGGGAGGTCGGGCTGGATGAGATAAGACAGCACTGGATCCCATGATAACCTCCATGATGCCCAGAAAAGCAGGCCGATGGGGGCTGGGCACAGGGGGCAGGCAGGAGGTCCATGCTTGTGAGGCCTCCCCTGACCCGCCCCCCGGGGACAACTTAGGCTGAGCATCGAGGAAGGGGGGGGGGGTGCCAGGAGGGCCCAGAACGGGCAGGGGCGGGGGGTGAGAGGGCGGGAGCAGGACCCGCAGCAGCAGACCCTGGTGCAGTAATGGGGCCAGCGTGGGCGGCTGATGGGGAATTTGAGATTCATGATGTTGATGTCAATGACATTAGTTACGCACAAGGATGAGACTAGGGAATGTGGGTGACAGGACCACACGCAGGGCAATTCCAAGGGGAGGGCTGCTGCTGAGCCCAGCTCTGCAGGGAGACGTTCCCTCAAGTCCCTCCTGCTGGGCTCTATTTCAAGTCCTGGAGGTCAAGCTACAAGGTCAGACTGCTGGCAGGTGTTTAAGGGACTGGCACACCCATTCGACCTGTGCCACTTGTGTAAGCTCCACCTTTGCTGCATATAATATTGGTGTCACGACAGCAACAGAAATCATCAAAAAGATAAAACAAAATACACCCCACTAAATGGGAGAATATGTTCACCAATGGTACATCTGATAAGGGGTTAATATCCAAAACTTATAAAGAACTCATACTGCTCAACGCCAAAAATCCAAACAATTCAATTTAAAAACGGACAGAGGATCGGAATGGACCCTTCTCCAAAGGGGGCATACAGATGCCCAATGAACATATGAAAAGATGCTCAACATGACCAATTGTCAGTAAAATGTAAATTAAAACCACAATGAGATATCACACCTGTTAGAGTAGCAAGTGCTGGTGAGGCTGTGGAGAAAAGGGAACCCTGGTGCACTGTTGCTGGGAATGCAGAGTGGTGTAGCCACTATGCAAAATGGTGTGAAGTTTCCTCAAAAAATTAAAAATGGAACTGCCTTATGATCCAGCAATTGCACTTCTGGGGATTTATCCAAAGAAACCCAAAACTCTAATTTGAAAAAATATGTGTACCCTATGTTCAATGCAGCGTTATTTACACCGACCAAGCTGTGGAAGCAACCTTAGTGCCCATCAATAGGCAAGTGGATAAAAAAATGGTACATATGTACGATGGAATATTACTCGGCCATGAAAAGAATGAAGCCTTACCAATTTGTGATAACATGGATGGACTGAGAGGGTGTTATGCTCAGTGAAATAAATCAAAGACAAATATATAATTTCACTTATATGTGGAATCTGAAGAAAATAAGCAAACAGACAACACTGCAACAGGCTCAGAGATACAGAGAGAACTAGAGGCTGCCGGAGGGGAGGGCGGATCGGGGCACAGGTGAGAGGGGGGAAGGGACTAAGAAGCACAAATGCGGGGCTACAAAAGTCACGGGGAAGTTGGGGAAGCACAGGAAACATAGTCAATAACGCTGTGATAACTACGTATGGTAGCAATTGGGGTACTGAAAAGATTGAGGGGAACACTATGTAAAGTGTCTGAGTATCTGACCTCTAAGCTGTACACCCAAAACCAACATATAAAAATAAACAAACATTTTTAAAAAGGAGAGGTCTGTGGGGAAAAACAATTATTTGCAAATATCTGATGGGTAGAAATGTTGAAAAGGCAATTGTCTTGCTCTAGGTAGTGACAGAAAAGAGAACTGTGCTAATTGATGGAAAAATAAATCACATGTAAATGAACGTTAAACAAATATTTCCATTAGACAATAGAGGTCATTCCTTTTCTTGTCTTAGCTACTTCCTTTTTATAATAGCTGTGGATTATTTTTTCACATCTGTTGTCAAAAGAGTATTAGAAAAAGATAAAACATATCAATAGTTACATAGGAGTAACTCATTTCCCTCATATTCCTGTAATCAGGTTACGTGTATTAATACAGAACCTTAAGTTTTCTGGGGGAAAAATATATATTGATGTCAAGAGTGTCAATCCAGAGACCAAAGTAAAGATGTCCCAGGAGGAGACGAGTTCCTCCCCCAGAGGGGGCTTCCGGCAGCGGACCACCGCCCCCAGGCCGGCCCTTCACCCCCAGCAGCCATCCCGCAGACTAACAGACCCCTCGAGCGTAAATGGAGCAGAAGGCAGGGTCCCAGGCTCGGCCTGAGAACGTGGCAGCACCCGGAATGGGACTAGATGGTGATTTGCCCAGGTTCCACGATGAGGTGCTCCTTCCATCAGAGGGACACACGCGTGACACTGGGGAGCGACCTCAGGAATCTGCTGCATCTGGGCCCAAATAATCAAGTCCCACCGGGGGAGGCTGACGTGATCTGGTCCAGAGAAAAATTCTAAGCTCTGCCCAGTATTTACATTTTAAAGTTTGTTCTGCTGGGACTCCTCATTGAAACGTTGAGACAATTGAAACACTGTTGTATACCAACAAAACTTCTACATGTATTTTGTGTGTTAATTTATTTTGTTCATTGGATTCCTGTCATAGGTGAGACCATATGGAAACAAGCCAGTATGCCCCAACTGGCTTACTTCACTTACCGTGACAGTCTCCGGCAGGCATGGAAACACGCAACAGACCGACAGCGGCCAGAGCGGATGCGGGACGGGGATGAGACGGGGAAGGGGACTAGACAAGGAATGTGTACGAATGACCCACGGACATGGACAACAGTGCAGGAAGTGACGGTGGGAGCGGCGGGGTGGGGGAGGGCACAGGGGGAAGAATTGGGACAACTGCAGAATAACAATGTAAAAAAATGATTCTTTAAAATGATTTATTTATTTATTTATTTGACCAGGGGAGAGCGCGAACGCAGCCCCCCACCACCACAAATTCTGCAGTCGAGTTTCCCACATCTGGGGAAATCGCAGGGGTCAGCGCGCCCGGAGCTCAATGGATAAGCCTCACCCTGGGAAAACCACCTTCGTGATCATGGTATCTCCCCCTGCCAGGTAAGCATTAGTTTTTTAAAAAGATTTTATTTATTTAATTTTTTAGAGAAGGGGACAGAGGAAGAGAGGGAGAGAAACATCCATGTGTGTGGTTGCCTCTTGTGCGCCCCCTACTGGGGACCTGGCTTGCAACCCAGGCATGTGCCCTGACTGGGAATCGAACCAGCGACCCTTCAGTTCACAGGCTGGCACTCAATCCACTGAGCCACACCAGCCAGGGCTATTTATTTATTTTTAGAGAGAGGGGGAGGGAGGGGGGAAAAGAGGGAGAGAAACATCAATGTCTGAGAGACTCATCAATCGGTTGCCTCTCATGCCCCCAACTGGCAACATGGTCCACAACCCAGGCATGTGCCCCGACTGGGAATTGAACTGGCGACCTTTTGGTTTGCAGGCCGGCACTCAGTCCACTGAGCCAAACCAGTCAGGGCAAAGCAAAAATAAAAATAAAAATTAAAATTAAAAAAAGACTCCTACATATAAAAATCATAGGGTGACTGCATTTTTTAAATGAGTTATCTCTGTTTTTCACAATGATCAGGGAGCATTTTTCAAAGTAACCAAAAACTTAAGATAGTCTAATTTTCTGATTTAAAAATGAAGACCCTCTACCTTCTAGGCGGGGAGAAAGCAGGAAGAACATGGAATGACACTCCGCGCTGCTGGAAATTTAGGTCAGAACAGCACAGGGACAGGCCAGGGTGGGGGGCGGAGAAGATGGGCCAGGTGGCGGGAACCGAAGGCTTCTCCCACAGAGCCACCCCTCGGGCTCTGAAAAACACCCAGACCCCACCAGGGCCTCACCAACAAGAAGAGAAAGTAACAGATTTTTTGGTCACGGTGACATACAGGCTGGCTCTTTATCTGAGAAGACAGGCTGGCACAAGCGGACGGGAAACAATGTGATAAAAGAGGATGATATTAATCAGGCTACCATGTTCTGACCCCCTAATTTCTTTCTTTCTTTACCCCCCCCAGAAAGCAGAACAAGGTTAATATCCTTATTCTTATCATCCTACCTTAATCTTAAAGCCCTGGCATTTCTGTTAGAAACAAAAGCACCACAAAAGTTGTTCCGGTAACACCCTTGGAGAGGCAGCAGCGATATGATGCATTGAGACAAGCTCCTCGACCCTCCTTTAAGACGCTCTGCTGCCTACCCTTAGGGCAGCCCATGGAAAGACTCCCGTTTCCCCAGAGACGACACTGCCTGCCCGTGCTACCCAGGCACACAGCAGGCACGGAGGTGAGCACACCCCGAGCAGGCGAATCGCTGGGCACAGGCCCTTCTTCGGTTCCTCAGTCTTTGGAACAACATCAGGTCGGCAGCATGGAGTCACTTGAAAGAACTGCATTTCTAGAGGCAAGTGGGGCTTCTGATAAACCCCACAAAGCAATGCCCTCCAACTTTCAAGTACCTGCGATTGTTTCTTCCCAAAGAGCTAAAGTCAGAGGCCATTCAAATCCCCTTGGCTCGATGACAGACAAGAAACCAGACCTCACTTACCAAGCAGACCCCAGGACCACAGATGCCCATGCAGGTATGTATTTCTGAGTCCAAAGCCTCTGTGTACGGGGACATGGATGCACCCCGTGATTTCTTCTTAGTCCCGCGTGACTCATTCCTGGTGGGTTACTTCTTCAAAGGTAAGCCTTGGATTTACTCATCTGTTTCCTCATGAGTAAAATGGGGACAGTGGTATTTATCTCAGAGGGTCACTATAAGATAATACATGTAAAGCATTCAGCTTATTCTATAGAACACAAGACGCGAGCGGAAGGTGTTGCGGAGCGCTTCTCTAAGACGGAAACAGCAGGTTCCGTGGGAGGAGGATCAAGAAACAAACAGGGGTGGGCAGACGGAGGTTTGCGTGTGTGAGCATCTGAAGAGTTTATTCTCGTAGTGCTATTTCTTATTGAACAAAAAGCTGTAAACCTATGTTTGCCCACCCTGTCTATACGTGTGGGCAGGATAACACATAGAGGCTCTCTAAACGCTATCTCTAAGATCAACTCAGGTCCTCAGGAAAGGACACTGACAATACCGGGTTCCAAGAACACTGAGCCGGCGCATGAGACGCTGCACGACTTGGAAACATGACAATAAAATGCCTTCACGTACAACGCATTCAGAGGGACATGAACACGGTGTCATCTTATGGGTTAACCTGACACAAGATCAGCCCTTGATCTATAGGTGTCACAGTTTCCTTAACAATCAGGTCCCACGTCAAATAAAATACTAACCAAAAAATTCTTCAATCTTTCATCTTTTTGGGAGAAACTAAGTCTTAAATTTAGGATTCCATCCTTTTTTTTTTTAAATAAGCAAAGCCACTGAAATAGATGAGCCTGGAGAGGGCATGTCTGCTTCAGTGCAGATGATATCCCACTTCTGAGATAAAAACTAGGATGGCTTTTTCTCCAGGAGTCTTGCCTCCTCCTTAGCTTTAAGTTGTTCTAGTTTCTTCTCATAGCGACTCAGGAAATGGTCATCGGGCTCAATCCCTGCGTTCTTCAGGTTTTCCATGATCTTTTCCAGTCTGTGTATCGATCGGGCTCCCTCAAGTTTCCTTGTGCTCAAGTACAGAGTGAACTCCTGGAAATCCAGGAGCTTACAGGTGTCCACAGAACAGATGTTCCTGATATCACCAGTTCTATCCAGAAGAGGGAAAAACACCAGTCCTGATAACTTCTCCAGGTCCTGAAGGCTCACTTGGAATTCACTTAATTGGGGTTGGAAGCCAATGGCTTCGTTGGGCACCACAAAGGCGCCCAGTGCCAGCGGTTCCATAGACGCTGGGCTTCTGCGCGCCAGGATCACCTTATAAAGGTGCGAGGGAACCGCCACGTTGTCCTCGCCAATCACCTAAAAACAGAGCAGCCATGTTAGTGATGCCGATCTATGCTAGCAGTCCCCAAATTTTTCCTGAAAAGACTTTAGATGCATTTCTGAAAATGCACTTGTAAGATACCCCACCCCAGTGAATTTCAACTCAGCTGCCAGAAGTAATAATAAACCAAAATACAAATTCACAAAGAAGATGAGCGTTTAACAGGTAGATTCTGATCGCACTCTAAAATAATGCCACCCCACAGAGCAGGGGTCACATTCTCAGCTCCGTTTGCAGGACAAAGGAATGCCATGAGTGAGTCCTGCGATTTTTAATGGATAAGAAAAGCTGTCATTTTTGCTTCGTCTCATAATCAGAACGTCTGGTGTTCTAAACATTTAAAGGTCAAAACTGCCAGCTTGGGAACTCCATGCTCTAGAAATAAAAGTGTGGCCTTAGTTTATCAAATTCACCAGGGAGCTAAACAAATAGCCTTCAGAGAAGCAGCCAGACGCACCACATTGGTATTCCTAGCTTCAGTATTGCCTAGACTGTGGTTCACGCTTCAAATTAAGTAAATGTAAATGCTGTTTGCTCAGAGGTTTGCACACTTGTGGGCCTGCTATCAGATACAGAACTTCTAAATGTGTCATCAAATCAAACACTTTAGAAAGGTATCCACACAATGAATAAGCCAAGGCTAGGGTCAGGCCTGAAAACAATTTGACTGCCTGTGTAGGTTGGCTGTAATAATAAAATAACACTGTTATGGAATTTTTTCAAATTTCTTTCCAATTGGCTTAAAAGCTGTATCTGTTTACTGAAAAAGAAAAAATGAACATCCATTTCCTTAATGGTCTTCAGTAAAAACACGCAACCCAATGACGCCACGTGCTCTCCCCCGGCCCTCCCTTAGTCGGGCGCTCCTCCCGATGGAGCCTGTTGGCTGCGGGGGCCCCGCCAGGGCCCAGGCGAGCTGGGTGGCAGGGGGCAGGAGGATGAGCCCTGCAGAGGGCTCTTTGCTGATTCCCCCAGGCTCCTACCTCCATGGCGCGCAGCCTGAGAACTCCGTGGCCATCTGCCGTCTGGCACGCATGGAGGTCCCACTGCCAAGGCCAACTGCGGAGCTTCAGGGAAGACCCATCACAGGAAAGATTTCTATTACTAATTGCCTCTGAAGTTAGTGAAAATGGTTGGTCAGAGAGCAGTTTGAAGTTTATGAAATCAAACAGTCTGCAGACACAAAATCCCTACCCTGCTCCAACATGTCATTTATGCAGCTGGGAGAAAAAACTGTTCAAGGCAAAAATGGACTGAAGGCGAGCTCCATGCAGGTCTACAGTCAGCCCGGAGAGCGCCAGCAAACGTCAACTCAACAGTGCCACTCCGCGGCCCTGAGCCTGGCACCACCGGAAACACAGAGAGGACCGGCCGCAGGGGTGCCCAGTCTTCGGGCGTCTCTGGGCCGCACTGGAAGAAGAGTGTCTTGGACCACACATTAAATACACAAACGCTAACGAAAACTGATGAGCGAAATAAAAGTTTTAAGTGAATTTACGGTTTTGTGTTGGGCCACACGCACAGCCATCCTGGGCCGCATGCAGCCGGTGGGCTGGTTACCCCTGCAAGTAAACACCTGTTCTCAAGAAGCTTCCCATCTAGAGGTGGAGTCAACACCCTCAGCTTTCTCTGTGGGGAGAATGCGGTGAGACGCTGATACAGAGCATAAGCCACAGCGCCAAGGGGGTGAGTGCAGGGGGAGTCAGGGATCAAAATTGAGGGCACAGCTGCAGCTGAACTATAATGTACACGGGAAGCTTAAATGGGCTTCAAGCATTCCAGGCGCAGGCTGGGGAGCCCACGGTTCAGCAAATCCTTGGTGCCCCCTGCTGGACATCCTCCACCACTGCAGCACAGTTCTCAGACCTGCTGGGAGCAGCCTTCGAGCCCATTCATTTGATTATTTTCTCTCTTCATGAGCTCTTTGTCTACAAACAAATGGCAATTTTCAGAAACAATTAATTGGTCATGTCCATTTGCTGCCAAGCAGGGCTTCTAAATCCGGTTCATTAAATTCCAGCCAAAAGTAAATAAGTTTGACATTTTAAGAGTCCTGGTTTTACCTCAAGGTAAAATAGAAACCATTTCTATCAGGTTTTCAAAAACTCTCACAATAGCTAGAGGACCTCTACTGCTGCTTTTGAGAAACCAAAGAGACCAAGAAGTTCCTACTAATCACAAGGTGTGAAACTTCTACCAACAATCTCAGTTTTTCAATAAAGAGGGACAAAATACTAACCCTAGGAAAAAGAGAAGAATGAAAACTTAGCCACTCACTACCCTTTTTGACTCAGCCTGCCTTGTTCTCAGGAAGCAAACCTCTGTAACCTAATATAGGAACCAGTCCTGTCTGGAAACCAAGACGACCCATTGTTTCTTCCTTGAATGTAAGACAAAGAAAATCCTCAAGTATTGTAGAGCTATCATCTTCTTTGTAGACAACTCAACCTACACAATACATTTTTTCCCCACTTTTGGGAAAACGGGAAGACTTTCAGAAAACGTTTCTAGAAACCAGTAGGGTACCGAAGCAGAACGGATCAGCGGACTCAAGTCCTGGCTTTGCCGCCAAGCTGTCAGCCACATCCGCCGGTGTCTCATTTATTGATTGATAAAACAGGTATTAACAATCCCAATGCTGACCATTTCATGGGATAGGTATGAGGGTAAGAAGACATGTTCATCAAAGAAAAAGACTTTAGAGTCTGCAAGACTGTAATATCTAAGTCTCTTTTTTATAGTGGGTGTCATTCAAAAGGGAGGACTGCAATTGCACTTGGTACAAAAGGTGGTTCTGCAGAGGGACAGAGGGGACCATGGGACCAAGCCAGATCAGACGAGCGAAAGGCAGACACGAAGGCTGCGGGAGGAGAAAGCAGGTTGGATGCAAATGAGGCGCTGAACAGAGGACTCTGAACGCTGAGCCAGTCTTTAGTGTCGGTAAGTCGGCAAAATCCTTTTCATATAAGATTTAGGTATAAAAAATACTTTACAAAAGAAATCCTTGCTGCTGTTCAAATACCAAAAAGCACTGACCTCAGGTCAAAATTGTAACAAAAACTGGAAATCACTAGAAGATACAATATGCATAAGGTCAAAAAGCTAGCACGCACTCATGACTTGCAGTTAGTTTTCGTACATGCTGGCCTGAGCAGGTTCCCTTCCATGCAAGAGACAGAGATGACAACTGGCTGCCTTGCCCCAGCCCCACCCCTGGCCCCCAACTCCACACACACAGAGCTGGGCCTTCATACTGACTCAGTGACAGAAGAGACTGGCAACAAGTCTGCCATTTTTCATGGCAACTATGCCTTAAGTGAAATACGAAGCAGGATCATGAGAAAAATACATGTACCTGCTAGAATCAGATACATATGCGATACTTGGTTTCATTCCCCTGGTAAGACAGAAAAAAAAAAGTAATCCAAAAAATAAAACTGTCAGACATATCAAGACCAAGTCCTTGTCACGCCAATCAAGTGAAAGAAACCATGACAGTGTGATAAATAGGAAGCCCATACCCAAGAGGACAGAGGAACACGAAACGTGAGCGAGTCACTGGGTGTGGGAAGGCAGCAGGGACGTGGCCAGCCCCTTGAGTCACCCGTAGAGCCGCTGCAGGTGCCGCGCAGCCGCTCACCCTGGGGGGCGGCACCTCTCCCGGCAGCCGCTCTGGGCCAGGAGGCAGGAGACCGCCCAGTCAGTCAAAAAAGCACCATCTTCCCAGATGTCGATTCTAACTTGGGGAGATTTAGGCTGGGGGTAAGGTGATCCTTAAACCAGTAAAATAATTTATTTTTCAGTGAAAACAAACAGACATGGAAATGAAAAGATTTGCCTAAAGATAAAAAAGGGAATTTCAGAAAACAAAGTCGCCCCTGACCAAGATCCCTGGAGGCACGCTTTCGATGTGCTCCCTGCACAGGCCGCACACACGTTTGGTAGGTCACACTGCCAAAGAAAACCTTAGGCGACTCTAATGTTACCACCCCCTGCCACCGAGGTATAAAATCTGAAGCTCACTTTCTTGTTAGGTCAATTATAATGTTCAGGCCAGAATCTGCAGGTATGTTTCACTCATCTGGAATCAATCTCTTCCGCAAACACACACATCAGAGAAAGTGCAGAGATGACCTCAGCTTCAATAAAGGGGGTGCTTCTGATCAGAGCCGTCAGAGGACTCCCTTCTGATAAAATCGCTGCTGCTAAGATTCCCTGAGGCTCACGCTCCCTGCATCCTGACGCTCTGACCCTTTTCTACATCTTCTAACACACATTTCCGCATGGCTCCAAGGAATCCTCCTCTTGCGTCGCTTTCTGCTGTTTTCGCATGCTAGCAGATATCACTTGTAACTGCTTTCCGTCCATACTATCTTTTACTTCCTGCCCATAAGCTCCTGTGTACAATGAGCACAGCGATCCCTTTGCAGACTTTTGAGAGCTTGTAAGAACAATGCTATAACTAACTGGCAATTCTCATACAAGTAGACAGACCTATGTCTGTACTTCCCCTTGGACAATTACTAGCTACATCACTTGGTCTTGACCCTTCAAAACCCCAATTTCCTTACCTATAAAAGAAGATAACTACCATTTGCATGTAAGCACTGTTGGTGAGGACTGAAAGAGACAGCATGTTCGAAGCTACTTACACACTGTATGGTATAGAAAGCTCTCAGTAAACACCAGTTCATTCGCTTCATTTCCTCCAAAGTATACACATGGCCTAGATAGAAAACTAAATAAATACCCTCACTTTTATTAGCTACATTCTCCTAAAATAAGGTTCAGATATATTTTTTAAGTAAGTAGTAGATACTAAATGGCCAGATCCAAGAAAACCAAATGCTTCCCAGGCATTCTGGAGCGCCAAACACAATGGCCAGCCATTCCCTTGGAAACAGGAACTCAAAATTCAAACATTTGTTCCTTGAGAGAAATAAACCAATCTCTGGGGCTGGGCAGTGCCATGTTC